TTATTTTTCTTCTTTATTTGCTGTTTGCATTTTGATTTTGCTTTGCTGAACGCACATGCAACTAGTGGATCTAACTCTGTGCCAGAAGTGATATGTCAAAAACATTTAGGAAAACTTACTGGTTTGTTTTGTTTTACTGAAGTCAGGCATGAGTGGCATGCAATAGATTGCAAGGAAAAGCAAAAGAACATCCATTTCCAAAGGATTTATAACCTCCATGCACATGTAAAATGTCTTACAAAAATCGTTAACATTTGTTAAAAGTGTGCCTTTTTGCCTCTTTTTATACAAGTGTACATGCAAGTACCTGTCTGAGCTAAAACTATTTACAAAATTTCATAATACAATACATCTTTTAAAGTGAATAATACATGAAAGGCCAATGTTTTCTGTTGTTTTGTAACACTGTACAGATTAAAAATAAATAAGGCATTATAATACAGGTTTATCACAAATTAAAAAATGTTGGTTTTCACTGTAATACAAAACTCTAACTTGAAAGAACATTATGGCTAAATAGTCCTCCTGCCTGGGCAGAACACATACGGAATCTGGACTTGCTGATGTAAAGAAAACGCTTTGTTTCTGCTACAAGCAGGAATTCAACACATGAAAAATGATTCACGCTACTTACTAATGTATTCAGACTCCTCAAAGCACTGAAATGGCACAGGTCATATACTGTTTCCCTTCAAACAGTGACTCCCAAGTACTTTCTTTTGCCTTACAGATAAATTATAGGCAAAAGCGTGAAAGAGATTTAGGCGCATGACCTACTCTTGGTTACAGTGTTGTAAAATACTCAGTTCAGTAATGATGCGAGACATCGCTGTAACCCAAAGCAGAACTTGGCCTACAGAAGCTCAACTCCTGACCTTCATAAGCGTGCTAAACTCCTGGTGATTTCTGCAGGCCTTGTGGGTACATAAAGGATGCAGATTCAGCCCTAATGGGCTGAAGCTTTTGGCTCTCAGTCTCACCTAGAGAAAGCAAGGGAGAATTTGCATGTGTTTTAGTGAAGACAAGGGAGTGCGACTTGCCACAGCGGGAAGCAGCTACAAAAACCAATGCATTTTATACAGGCTGGATAAAATAGCTTTCTAGTCAATGCAAATGGAAAATGTTTGGAAATATCTAGCCAGTAATTCAACTGAATGCCAGTTTGTAATCTCAGCAGAGAATAATAATTAAAAAAATCATTTAAAGATAAAGGTAGCATAGGAACACTTTGAAATTAGCTCCCAAGATAGTGAAGTCTGAAGATCTCTGATACTTATCTCTTTATAAAAAGAACAAAAGACTTTGATTATTACTATTATCTGAAAGAGAAAACGTGCAAACTGATGTGAAATATTGTGCTTGCTATTGACAGACATCGACATGCCAAAATGGCATCACTTTGTTGTAGGGCTCATATCTGTTAATTGTTTCAAGCTAACAGCTGCACAAAACAGTGAACAGAAGTGCAGGAGGCTATTCTGCCCACAATGCAACAAGTTACTATCCTCGGTTAAATGTGAGGGACTTTTGGGTACTGTGGGGCAGAACTGACTCCTTGCTGGGGCTACAGCAAGGTCACCCAGGCAAAAGTTAGAGAGCTTGACCTGAAAATTAATAAATGCAAGATAGGAAATACAACTGCATGCATTAAGGTGCACACAACCCAAATCCCACAGAAATCCAAGGAAATCCTTCTGATGATTTTCAGGGATATTGGAGTGGGCCACATACTATCTTCAACCAATTGCCAATAAAAATTTGATGACAAGCTTCTCTCATTTGGCAGAAGATGTGCATTTGTGGGGTTATCAGAAGTATTACTACTACCTCTTTCCATGTGTTAAACTTACTGAACATATCAAAGAACACAGAAGAGCAGAGAGATTAAATCTGTCATTTAAAGCTATCACATGAGAGCTGAAATAAAACAAATGTACACAGAAAAGGAAGATGGGGAAAAATTATATGAACAAGGAGGGAAAGCATAAAAGCAGGAGCATAGCTTCATTATATCATGATTTCAACATTTTCCCTGTTGGAATGCCTACTGAACACTGCCTATCATTTTCACATGGCTTTTTCCTAATTTGTGCCTTGGCTGAACTTTCTTCATGATTCTGTACTGCTCAGTCCAGGACTACATAGAAAAACATAGTTTTCCCCATAGTAAAACCAGCAACAACAACCACAAAAAAATACAAAAACTGTTAACGGTATGACTCAAGCAAAGTCTGGAAACTGACCCCAAATACACTGTCTTTGATGCTGTAAGCTAGCACATGCAAGCTGTACTGGCTGCAGCACCAAGAAGCCATCCTGGTCCACTCAACCTGCTCCGAAGGCACACACCTCCTGCAAAAGGGCCAAATGAGAAGCTGATGATGGACTGTGCCTGTCTGGTTCTTTCCATTCAACATGGAAAACATGCTTACAAGTCACGTGCCTCATTTGACTGTTGGAAAGGAGTATCAGGCTTAGAAAAACTTTGGAGTAATTATACTAGCACCTGCTAATCTTTTAAAATATTAAAATAAATAATCCAAATTTACCTTGCTACATGATCTTCCACTGACATTACTCCAGGACTAGGCTGGGAATGAGTCTGGGAATGACAGCAGTCCCAAAAATATTAGCACAGGGGACAAATAATTTCTGCTCACTGTCTGTTTAAAACAATGGTAATATGCCTATATCTTGGACCTATTAAAAAAGTAACAACAAAATTATTTCATTGTAAGCTTTTGGTGTGGGTCAATGGCTGTATTTGGTCTATGTGTTCATGTACTACCAGATCTACTGCTAGGATCTGAAGATGCTTTTAATAATACAACATGTAAAAAGAATTTTTTATTATTAATGGTGAAATTATACCAAATTCACTGATTCAAAAATCATGTAACTTGGGCTCTTTGTGAGTGGAACTGAGTGATTAATGCTATTGCACATAATGCTGTCCATTTTGGTTAAATATTTAACTTACCTGTGTGATGATGTAGTTCTTACAAACCTATTAGAAAACATAAATATGCAGTGTACTTTACATGGATACGACTTATTCAGTTTAATTATGTAAATACCTGTTCTTTTAAATCTGTATTCTCTACATATATTTATTTAAATGGCTTTGAATGCCTCAAAACCAGAAGTAAATTATTGTAGAAGAATACGTGTGAACTGGATAGCTGTTAGGGAGATAAAGAAATGCAGTGATGTTCCACAGATCAGCCAGTGTGCATACATCTAGAACAGTTAGGAAGCAATTCTCAGTTTTTTCTAGTCACTAATTTTGCTAGCTTTGTACTGAAGCACCTAGCTGACAGGGTACATAAAAATTAATTAAAATGCTGAACACCTGATGCACACCACTGGAGTCCCACAGCAACCTGATATGGCTACATGGAGAACAGAAACTCCTGCAGCATTTCTTTTGTTGATATTTGCATCTGTTGACCCAGTATTTGTCCATAAAAGTGTTTAACACAACCGGTGACCGCTCCAAAGCAAAAGCTGATTGCAGGAGAATTGCTCAGAGTTTTCTTTCCACTGAAATCAGTAACAAAATAGGCCCACCAAAGGGAAATGTGACATGTAGTACATGCAAGTTTTCCACTTCTACTTACAGTCTGGACAACTTCTGCAGTCTTGGGTGGGTTTTTTGGGTATGTTTTTTGGGGCTTTTTTTGGGCAGGGGGGGTTAGTTAAAAGGCAGTTTTGCATGTTTTCAGACAACGTAAAGTTTTGCTTCTCTTTTGGAAAGCAGTGAGGCTGGTTAGCTTGTGCATCCCCATCAGGACAGTATGGCACCTGTCCACAGAGCACATGTCACTCAGCAGGATGACCTCCAGCTGCCCCCACCTCGAGTACAGAGCTGCACTCCACACTTCACATCCGGATCAGTGTTTCAAGATGAAACCACAAACAATACAATGTGGGTTGCATTAAACAAAAAAGCAGTCAAAATGTTCCCTTTTATGCAGATTAAGAGCAGGCCCCTCTCTCCTGGCACGTTTACCAATGTGCTCCTCATTTGGGCAAAGTTTGACTGTGCTTGTTTCTCAGAATTATAGCTTTCTATAATTGTACAGCTTTGAAAAGTGAGCCTGGGTAGAATCAAGATATAATAAAACTGTGGCATAAATTTAAAAATCAGTTAAGACGTAAGACTATGTTGGCAAGCTAGCAACAGCATGTTTGTCACCAGTACAAGACTATTCTCTGAGCTGTTTAGAAAGGTAAAGCTAAATCCTGGAACTGAGCCACAGGACCTGTGCTGTTTGTAAAAGCCTGAAATAATACCATCCTTCTGCTCTTCAATAAAATCAGCACTATACATAAAGGAATGTTTCTATATTGCATAAGCATATTGCTGTGCTTGCAGGGTGCTCCTCTGTCTTGCACAGAGACAGACCTGTGAAGAGGCAGCAACTTCTAAACTCTACCATCCTTTTTTTTTTCTTTTTAATGGAAAGAATATATATTGTTCTTCTGCCAAACCTTTAAGCTCTGTGGTTTACCTACTTCATAACCTAGTGTTATGGTTTGAATTGGAACTTTTTTCAAGTTTTTGGAGCATGCAAGGAGAATTTTAAAAAATACATAGGGTTTAGCAAATAGCTGAATCCAGCCTTCGTTAATCTGCCATTGACAGCACAATGAACACTGTTCTCATTGCTTTAACTCATGCACTGGGAGCACAGTTTCTCTAACTCTTGCTGTAGCCCTGGAGAGTCTCCAGCTGCCCCACACTCCACGGTTAAATGCAGCTTTGCTAATCCCAGAACCAACAATGCTGGTTATGACAGAAAGAGAAATCTCTTTGCTGTGTCATTGCAGGTGGATGTGTAAATAAATACATATTTTTATGTTAATCTCTATAAATCTCTATTAAGACTACACAGGACTTTGTATATGTGCATATATAGATTAAAACATATATATACACACACACACATAAATAATTGCTTGCACGTTTATCTCATTTTTTTTTTCATTTACCTTTTAAAAATGCCAAGAAAATATTCCTCATTTCCAGAAAATCAGGTTTTGACTTTTCCTAACAGAATTGCTAGCCCTTATATGTTCCATTCCAAGAGTTCGTTACACAGTCCCCAAGTTCTCTTTGGTTGGGTTGTAATGGTCCTTGGTTAGTGCCATGGCCTATGACCTCTGACCTCTTGGTAAAAATTCAGGCAACCATTGCTCTCCAAATTCATTGCAAATGGCACAACCAAATCTCCTTTGCTCTATGTCTCCTTCACAGCTGGCACAGAAGGAAGATAATGCAGTGTTTGATTTGTGTGAGTGGCAGGTGCTTGACCTGCTCCAAGCCCAGCTTTTACAGTAAAGCTAGCAACTGAGGATACCGACAGACAGCTGGTGCCCAGTTTTGTTTGAATGTTTGCTCTCCCGTAAGGGTACATTTTTCGCTCTAAGTTTAAAGACCGTGTTTGTGAATTGTTTCCATCAGCCTTTCCTTCCAGGAAATAGGTCAACATTTCGCCTTTTCCCTTTACACTGACTTTACCCCTGCACACAAATTCATAACTGCACCTTTTTAATATCCGCTGAACTTCTTCTGTCACCTGAAGACAGAAAAAAAAAAAAAACCTATTAGTTTTTCCTGTTCATATAAGGTTAATCCTAGAACTGCCCAGCCTGCTCCATTTTACTTCTCTGTCATGAAATATGCATAAGCAGAATGAATTAGCACCTACTGCTGCTCTCGGGCTCACTTAGAATTTTCTTAAGGAATTAAAAATCACTGACCAAACTGGAATCTGAGAAGCAGAACTTCTGGTCTTGAGCTGAATAATTACACAGCCAGGTTAAGCTCCGTCCAACACAAATGTGTAACCAAATTGCCCACTGTTGTAAGCTGGATCAGTTCCAGTGATGTTAATTTACTCCAGAAGAACTTTTGATCCCTGGAGACTAGACAGGTAGTTTGGATAAAGGACTGCAAGAGTTCATTGAGATTTTGAGAGGTGTAGCATAGCTTCTAGCCAAGCTCTAGTAGAACAACAATGTTCTCTGTCTGTGTAGTCTCTCCAATCCAAAGTATCCAAGGAATTTTTAAAGCTACATAAAATGCAGCATGATGCAAATGGACGTAGATCCTTTCCTTGTAGTCCTTATTCAGGCAAAATTCCTACAGCACGAGGACAGTGTCAGCATTCCCAGGCTTGCCTCCAACTGTGTGCAAGGCAGCAGAGAACTCTGTTTCTTCTGATGGGAAATGATTTATTTGAGGATTTCGTTGCCTCCAAGTAGTGAAGTGAATATAATGGAAAACAACTATACCTCTGATGCTTGAATCATCTGGAGAATGTTGCCCTTTTCACAAGAACCACAAGATCAAGTGAGGTGTTTTCTAAGTGGTCTTGAAAATGTAACCACATATAAAATTGGAGGTATGCAAAGTTTGCAAAATTGTCTCAGAATGCACTCACCTGAATTTTCCCCTGCACTCCAGTACTATCCATCCGGCTGGCAACATTTACAGTGTTCCCCCAGATATCATACTGCGGTCTTCTGGCTCCAATGACTCCAGCCACTACCGGCCCAACATTAATACCTAAAATCAAAACAATGAGTTTGGTTTCAAAGACTACAGCATATAATCCAAGGGAAACATAAATCCTGCAAAATAGATTCCACACAGGTGCCTTAGAATTCTTCTGGTCATAAGACATAATATGTGTTGAATTAATGCCAACTGGACTTCTGTATTTGTAAGAGCTTTAGAAACAAAGACATACACAGAGATACCTTACTGGAAATGCAATATGACAGACAACATAAAAATTTGGCTCATCTATGGATTTTTTTTGTTTGTTTTTTTTTAAGAAAAGAAGAAAAGCAGTGGTAGTGCAGAGTTTAGCTGTAGAACAATTCAGGAAAAACTGTTAAAGATCTTTAATTGTTTGCTATGACTTCCACTGTAGTTGCTCATATAAAGCCTCTTCATGGAAGTTTTCCAAGTGGAACAGAAATAGTGGCCTGGAAGACAGGAGGATTGGGGTAAGGGAAGCGTGCCACATTGGTTGTCAGTACTAGACAATTCAGATCAGGGAGACACTGGAAGAAGACAAGAGTATGTGAAAATTGCTCAAGCATCTTTTTTGGGAAGCCACAGGGCTCGATTCTACATCTCTCACTGATTTCGACACTTTGGAAGATGGAAGAGGATGTTCCTTCTCCTGAGTGCCCTGATGCAGGGCTGCAGATGCTAAACCCTGCATGAGGTTCTATGCAAGGCCTTTCCCAGGCAAGTTATGCAGAAGAATGGGGGTTTGATATTTGTCTTCTGCCCCATTGTGAACTTGGAAAGACCAGTTATAACAGAGTTCAAAGAGAATTAGGGGTTTATAATTATTAGGATGTACAGGAGGGCAAAGATGTATATAAGAGGTATATTGCTACCCTTGATGTCTTTGGTCTTTCTCAATCTTCCACTGCTAGCAACCTCACTTTTCCCCTTGTCCAGCCCATTCTCACAATTCAGACATGAAAATATACAGAGAAAGAAGCTGGAGAAAACTATCTGTGTTAGAATATGCAATGAAATGAGAACAGCAGTGGAAGTACCATTGGAGAGGAGCGGGATGCAGGGAAGGAAGGGAAGAGGGGAACTTGCTCTCTAAGAAGGCTGGGAGAAAGGACTCTGAGAGGTAAGACATGTAATAACATGTAAAGGATTGCATGGGAAGGTTTGTGTTGTGAAGACCAGAGGATTTGATTTGCTGGAGAAAACAGGACTGGTTGAGGTGATTTGGCATCTGTGGACAAAAAGCTCCCATCACACTTTTAATGCCAACAAAGCTTTTGGAGATGCAACTTAATAGCTAAGTACTGTCAGACCCAGTTTTCAGCAGTTTAGCAATGCAAAGCAGTACCAAGACTGGGTACACTAATAATACTGTATATTGTATAAAGTTATTGGTGCAGTTTCCTTTTGCAGGTGTGTAGATTAAGTAAACACAATTGGACACATTTATAATTCCTTAATACTGCTGCTCACCATCCAGCCTGCTGATCCATGTAGAAACATGGATGTGACACTTCCGCTAAAGGAGGCTTTTCAGTTTTAATCATGACTGCATGACAGATAATCCTTTGCAGACAGCACAGGGAAAGCCAACAAACAACAATGTTTTGCTTGTGTGATAATTGTAGAAACATGACTTACCAACGCGCAGGACAAAGTCGTTGTAAGACTGATAGTTGATTTCATCAAGAACGTCAAACATCTCTATTGCAAAATCTGCCAGTGTACTCAGATGGGAATAAATTGATTTTTTAGCCTAGAAACAAAATAGTATTGCAGATTAGATTTGTATGGTACTGAGAGGCAGGGGAACTACCGAAGTGAAAAACAATGAAAAGCTCAGACTGGACAGCTTAGGAAAAGAATCTAACCCATTTTGCTGTTTGTGAAAATAAACTTTTGATGGTGGCTACAGCACATGCATTCTTTTCTCAAGTACTGATTTCCCCCCCCCCTTCTCTCTCTCTTTTCGATTTCTGGGAAGAATGGAAAGCAAAGTTCCCGTGGTAAAGTGGTTCTGTTGCTAGAGAGCTGCAGATGTTTGTTGTGAGCGTGGCAGGGAATATAACCTGCTTTCTTACAAAACTGCTTTGCCTGATGATTATTAATAACTATAGTTTCTGCCCTCTTCTCCCTTTGGGGTTTTTGCTAGCTCCCAGCTCCATGGGGTGCATGCTGTTCCCATTGACAAAATTCCTGCTAGGTTTAAACCTATGAGATGCAGAACACCCCTATTTCCTTTCCTTTCCAGGCAAGCTGAAATGAGTTGTTATAAAATGTATTTAGATGAACTAAAGCAAAAGAACCAGACAGCATCAAATGCAATGCTGAAGTATCAACTTGTAAAAAAAAACCGAAAGCATAAGAAGTAATTTTACAACTTCAGTCTAATTAAACTGTGGAACCGTTTTCAGAAGATATTGTGGATTCCAAAAGTTAGCTAGATTCAAACATAATTACCCAAACTCATGGAAGAAATATTTGCTACAAAGTAGTAAAGAGATATTATCTGTAGCTCTAGAATTTCTTAATCAGCATATCATTAGAAAGTGGAAAAGAGAGGTTTGCATGTTTGTCCTATAACTCATGCCCTTCCCCCAGGGTCTACCATTGGCTAGTTAAAGATAGGTTACTAGAACAGACCTTTGACCTGACTCAGTATGGTTGCTCTTATATTGTGCTCTTATTTGAATAATAAATATGAATTCTTGAACAGATTTTCAAAGTGAAAGTGGACTAAAGGTAGGATATGGTGAAAGAAATGCAGGGTCAGTGGCAGTCTAGCTTCAGTAGGGTGTTGCACAACAGGGCTGTGGCAGCTGGCATGAGATGAGAGCTCCCTGGGTTTTTGTCATGATAGCGAGATTGTATAAATGGAGTACTTGACAGTGGCTGAGAAACCTGAGAAACAGGTTTCTATTTGCTTTATTCGGTTCAGTTTGAAAGGGCTCCTTCACGTGGCTGGGAAATTTACAAAAATTAGAGCAAAGTTTTAACAAAAAATTATGAAAGTCATCCTTGGGCCACTCCCAATTTTTAGGAAGGATATTTTTATTTACCTGCCTGAGTCTCTGTCATTCTGCTTCTTGCAATGTCAACTAGCTCTACTCTTTTCGAGCCTCACCAAGACGAAGGAAGAACAAGACTTAAGTTTAAAGAGCTGATGGCTACACTTCCAACAGAGAGGAGAAGAAAATTGAATGTCTGGAGGAGGGAGGGAAGGGTCTATAGTTTTGTTTAATCCTCTAATCTTCTTTGTATTCCTTATCCTTCCTTTCTTTGCTACACGATGAATGCTTTGATTTCCTGCAATGCCCTTTAGGGTTGCGGAACAGAGGACTGGTGACAAATACTGGATGCGTTGCAGGTGACAGATGCCTCTCAAAAGGATTACTGGCAAACTCTTTTGAACCTGCACTGAAGAACACCACAAAGTTAGGACCCTGGTGAAATCACAGACGTAATTTCAAAGGCCTCCACACACAAAATGAACTTATATTGTGCAAAAGATCTACAAAAAGCTTGGTTTGTGTGCTGCCCTGATGGCGTAACTGGCAAGCCATTATTTATTTAAACATCAGAGGAATAGTTACTGGAAAGACTGCCCAGAGCATCACAACAAAACCACTCTGAAAGAGGCAATGTGCATTTATTAGTCACCTGCTGAAGTCAAGCTGCAGAAACAACAGTCCTGTAAAGTATGGGATTTAAACATTTAACTTCATCAGGGTACTGGGTTCTTATGTGTGTAAATATCCTCAGTTAAGAGCACAGTTAACCCCATCCACTGCTTTCTGCTCATGTGCAAATCCTAGTATGAAATTGGTGGCTCACAATCAGAGGCTGTGCCAGATTTTCTGATGAAGCTGGGACACTCCTGGCAGAGGGGAGACCAGAAGCACTTGAGTCTCTTACGGCCTCATGGACACATATGACTCCATAGGGCAGCCCAGGGACTGTGGGACAGCTGGCAGTGATCGTCTGCGCATGATGGGCTACCCAGGATCATCGGACTACTAATACATAGCTGCGTGCTGAAGACCTAGTGGGAAACTGCCAAAGAATAATTGCTACTCATTTGCATCACATGAGCAGTGGGAAGAGATCACAGAAGAGCTGAAACCTCAAGTTAAAGTAATATTGGCTGTTTCATACAAGATCTTTAGGTTTTCTGGAATACAGAATGTTAAATAAATTCAACCTGTACAGAAAAGATCAAAATTTGCCCCAAGATTTCAGAGAAAGGCAGAGTCCTGTACAAGACCTTCTGCAGTGATTTAAAATGTATTACTATCATAAGCTCAGAGTGGTAACTTCAGTACAGGGCTAACTCAGCTGACCCTTCAATTAGCAACTATAAAATACAAGAGATAAACATGTTTAGGTTTTGGAACATATGCTGTCAAAGTTACCCAATAACACACTTGTTTTCAGGATTATAGTTCAAAGAGCATTTATAGCAGACACACTAGTATGCTGTTGCTTGTTTGCCTGAGATCACACCAAACAAAATTCAAAGGATCAATTTTTTTGCCTGTCTCAGGATCCAGGAGTCAAACATTTCAGCATAAACAGAGTTTCAAAAATACCTTTTTGTAATGTGTAGATTTCTAGGAATGATACAAAGGAAGGCATCACTTGTAAATACCCTGCAGACCAGAAAATTAGTTGCATGTGATATACTCCAACCTGATTCTAACAGTTGATTTCAATGTGGCCTTGTTTTTTATTTACTTAACAAGGATAATTGTTGCTAGAAAGTTCACAGGCCATCTTCTGGCCCTTTTTGCTTTTGCCCTCTAACTTGGTGTTATTTTGCAGTGCTAAACCGTATGCATGAATGTACCTCTACAACATACGTACATGCATATCAGAAAAGGGGAGAGGTGCCTGGAAATTCTGAGCAGACTAGGTGTATGGATTGCTTTCATTTTAATTATATCCCTCATATTATTAATTTTCTTAATTTTCATATATTAATTTTATTAA